TAAGGCCAGGCTGGATGAGCCTTTGAGCAACCTGGTCTAGTGGAAGGTGTCCCTGCCCATGGCAGGGGGGTCGGAACTAGATGATCATTAAGGATCCTTCAAAACCAAATGATTCCATGATTCTATGACTCTATTATAAGGCCTCACTTATGAATCTTGAGAGCGAATTTTGTATTAGTCTCATTAAATACAAGAATTAATTTTAAAAGTTACATCAAATCTAAGATTCAATGTCTTTACTTTCAGGAGCTGGAATTAAAAATAAAGTCACAGAAAAATCACGATTCACATTCTTAAGATAGGGAACACTCTTATTATTAATGACCAGGATCACACATACTGAGCAACTGCTTCAGCACTATTGTACAGGAGTTAACTACCTGCTGTATTGTGGAATGCAGTGCTAACGTAATTAGAGAGGTGGTATGACACAGAACAGAAAGTCTGATAAATAGCATTACACTCCTATTGTTGCTACCAACTTCTTCATGAAATCTTTCTTTGCCGTATTTTTCCCATTACTAAAGTAGGGAGAGCAATCAGGTTTCCTCTGTGGGAACACTGCCTTGGACACTTCAGTTAAAGTGCTGTAAAATTGAGTGCACTTGACAAACCCAACTTTGTACATTGCCTGGACACAGCTCCACAACAATCTTCTCCAGAATTTCATGTTTGTTCACATAGTTATGAATCCCGTTTTTTATTTGTACTTTCCACCCATTTTTCCAGTATGACAAATCAAACTTACTGGTATTTATCTCCCCAGATTCCCTTGGATAGATCTGCATTAGATTGTCTCATCTTCCATTCCTCTAGTACCAAGACCAATTCAATGGATATTTTACACAACACAGTAGTTTGACACATTCATATTTGAGCTCCTTTAGAACTCCTGAGCAAATACCATCATCTCAACAATTTATTACTATAGGTTTTATCCAACTGTTTTAAAAGTTTTCTCACTAACATTTTAATTTGAGATAGTTCCTCCAGCTCATTTACCCACTAACAGCATCTGATACTGAAATCTTCCTGACCTCCATGGTATTGAACATAACCCCAAATTTAATTAATATAACTTTTTTCCCTCATAGCTTTATCTTCTTTGAGCTTTCTGTTACACCCTGACCATGGATTCTGGTCTCCCCCAAGGTGCATAAAGTCCCCTCTCTTCCTTTATGAAGCTTTGGAATATTTTTCCTAGTTTATGCCACATGGAGTTTTCAGAGCCATCAACCTTTTAAATAAGCACCAAAAAGAATTACTGGCAGAGTTCATCTGCATTGTGCCTCGGTTTTTGAAAGGAACAAAGCTACTACTAAATATTGTTATTAGGGGAAATCCAAGTGTGCTGGTTTTGGCTGGGATAGAGTTAATATTCTTCACAGTAGCTACTATGGGGCTGTGTTTTGGATTAGTTCTGGAAACAGTGTTGATAACAAGGATGTAAGTCAGCATCCACATGCATACAGTTCTCAGAGAACTTTCTAATCTGTGCAATATACTTCTCTATAGAGAGGTCCTACCTAAAAAAAAAATGCATACTTTATTTCAGTAGGATCTGGTTCTACCTAAAGGTGGCAAATGCCACTAACCTCCAGAAGAACAAAACGCAGATGAGAAACATAACAGAACAAAACTTAGAACTTGAGGACTGGGTTTCATACTGTTTTCTATTTGAAGTTTGGCATTATAAAATAATCATTCCAGGACTGCGACCTTTTGTGCCAAGTTTCAGCCTGAAGCTGAGTTATTAACTGTAAGGGGGTGGGAAAGTAAGGTATTTATAATGGCTCAGGTGGTGTAACCTTCATTAGAACAGTGTGGATGGAGCTGTTATCAAAAAGACTTCTAAGAATTTGGTGGGTGAAATTATAATTTATGTCATGCAGCACCTTGAGGCAAATTTTAAAACAATTATTTGTGAATTCTACAAAGACATTATCCTACAGCCTTCTCATCAATAATACAGCCCCCCAAACTGATTCAGAAGAGGCAAACCCGCCATGATTCCAATTAAAGACAATAAACCGCACAGTCTGTATTATATCTCAAGTATCCCATGAGCCTATACTCTAGAAATGCCTTTTTTCCCTGTCTGATGACAGATATGTATTTAAATGTCCTCTTGTCTACACAAACCTTTTTTTTTTTGTCCAAGCTTTCTCTTTTATGGAGGATAAATAAGCAAAATTCATATTCAGCCCAGCACCTGCTGAAGCTGTCAGCTGTAGTGTTTGTCATATTTCAATCAAAGCTGAAGCCAGCCAGTCATTTTTATACTGCACAATCCCTACATACTCGAGGACCAGAATTAATGAATTAGCTATTGATTAAATTCCACTCTAGCAAATCCACCGTGGCAAATAAATGAACTACCCGGGGCACGTGTAGGCCACGGCCAGACATGTCCGGGCAATCGATCAGTAGTTAGTATTCTTTTGGGATATAAGAACAGCTGATGATAATATGACATGTAGGAAAAGGCAGTGTAGAAACAGAGTCTGTTTCTGGCTGAGCAGATTATAAAGTAGGAAGGCATTTTTGATCCTTTTGCATTCATGTGTTATGACATATTTAGTCTATATATAATAGCAGAAACATGCATAAGTGTTTGCAGTACAGACAATACAGACAAAGGCATACATAAGTTGAAGCCAAGGGCAAAAGATGAGATCCTGAATTGAGTTCTTATCATCAAACAAGCTTTGACTATATCTGTATGTGTGACAGAAAAATAGCAAGCTTAATTTCACCCTTATACAGAGACAAATGCGGAATTCAAGTAAAATATAGAAATTATACTCAGTAAACCAAAGTCCTTAAGAGACTGGAGAAGCAAATCCATTCTGTTGGCCATTTCTGAAGGCTCCAATGTTAGATTTTTGCTATTAAAAAAAAAAAGGTTTAATTTTCTTTCCTGAAAAGAAACACTGCTAATGAGCATACTCCAACAGAAGTGCTATAAAACCACATGAACAATAACATACACAGAGGAGGCTAACTGTTTTATTGTTGGTATAATTCTGAGAAGTGTGTTAGCTAGCTTAGGTTTAGTATGTCTTCGGAAGATATTAACTCCCAAAGAATCACTGTATATGTTACTATTTGGCTGCTTCTAAGGACTGAAAATCTGCTCCTCCCTTTACAGTTAAGAAGTTTGTCCCTGTCTGTGGATGTAGTGGACAGGCAAACTGCAGGAAGTGGTCCAAGGAGACAAAGATATGCATGCCTTTTAAGATAGCTTACTAATTCTTACTGTTGTGATAGGTAACTTTTTTTACCCACAATTATTCTAAGTTTCCATTATCAGCATCGCATTACTCCCTGAGCATTAATCTTCCTCTTCTTAACTGACAGCAAAATGTGATAACTTTCATTCCTCTACACTTTTTCTCTTAACTACTTCCACTTACGCTTTATTTATTATCACAGCACAGTGATACCCAAATAGGTATGTACAATCAACTAAAGGTGAGTCTTCTTCAATTGCTTTTTTGGCCCAAAACTCTAAGACCAAAAACAACAACCATGAAAAATGTTTTCAAAGTGTATACAGAATTCTTTTATGCACTTTACTCAACTAAGAGAAGACAACTTTACATTCTGGTCCCCATTCCAGCCACAAATCCCCCTGATACATGAAAGCCAACTGTAGCATAGTACCTTGAGCCAATTATGTGAATAATGGGTGCTGACAGCTGCTTTGGTTCGTCTTCCACAGTTGTAATCTGGGTCCCATTGCTTCTCACACAGGCATACACCGTGCAGACTTCAATCTGACAAAGAAGAACATGAGTTTCACATGCTCAGCTGTAGAAATCACTCAGCTCTGCTACTTCTCTCTTCACCCAAGATTTTATTCTTTTCTATTTAACAGATTCCACACAGCCATGAAAGTACCACAGTTCTGAGGTAAGTACATCTACCTCACGTACATCTTACCAGAGATATGCAGTGTATAAATTTTCCCACACCGTTTTCATAAAAAGGACACATGCAGCCCTCTGGCACTAATTGCTGTTTTCTATTAAACTACCACCAACAGAGTTGCCATGAATTTGCTTCTCTGTGTGTATATATATAAAGAGAGAGAGAGGGTGTGGTACACAACACTGAAAAAAATGAACTTTAATTCTGAGGCACTGAGTAAGTTTTCTACACCTACCATACATTCTGACATAAAAATAAGGATAATTTTCCCATAGTATTTTCTATTCCTTCATGTCTATTCTGGAAAATTTAAAATGAAAAATGCAAATAGCAATCATATCTTTTGTTATAAAAAATGCCACAGAAATAAAAACTTACTCTTTCGATTCTTCGAATTAAACTAAGCAGAGTCATAGTGAAATAGTTAGTGAAGGATGGTAACATCATTTCTATATTGTTAACAGAGGAATTACTCAAAATAAAAGAGTGCAAAAATTGAAAGATAATGCATTGAGATTACCAGTAAGATGCACATGCATCCAAATTAATATTGTTTCCAGGAGAAGAAGAAAAAGAATCAAAAGGAAAAAAAATTAAACCAGTTTATTTTGGTTTTACCTATCACGTTGATGTAAATATAAGTCTTGTATTGAGACTAGGAAAGCAGAAGAGAAGAATAATTAACATCTCAAGCAACAGAAAGTGGCCATGGTAAATGAATATAGAGGGTCTATAAGTGAGGCAGTACACTGAATTTGCATTGTTATTGAGAAAAGACAAATGTGTTTCCAAGCAGCATTCAGAAAGTCATATGTGTATTCATGGATGGAGGTTTGCTGTTTCAGAGGGGCTGGAACACAGAAATCTGTTATGGTATGCCTGTCTGTGATGTTTATTTATGGTATGTAGTAACTGGATGCAAATTTTCAGAATGAAGTATACATGGCACTACTAAGTCCTTCTCATATATAATGCAAACTAAACCTGAACGAAACAGATATGTATAGTTACAATTAAGTGTCAAACTGCTTTTCTTAAATATATTAATACAACTTAAAGATAGAAAGGTTTGGGGTTTTTTTATTCTGCACATGGTATTTTGCCTTTCATAGGATATATGAATAGAGAGGCAAAGGGAAATGCAAAGACAAAACATTGTACTTATTAACAGCATAAAAAGTACTACTACGATTTCAGAGATCAGCTCTGCTTCCTCCTCAGAAGGATAAGGAGAGAAAAATGATAAAAGGATGACAAATGCAATATCATTATTTCTCTGTGCTGATATATTATGCATGCCTGATGTTTCTAAAACAATTGCAATTTTCCTTTAATGAGTAGGAGTAGAATCTTCGCCTCTTTGTAATATATGTGGAGGCTTTGCTAATGTTGTAGCACAGAGCATTTAGGGGAAAGTAAATGGACTTTTGATGGTTTGAAAAAAGATAATGGAAATTTCTATTATGAAAAGTGCACACAAACCTAAAATATGCTGAAAATATATTTATGCCTTGAATGTATATACACACAAACATCAGTGTAAATATATGTCCATGTATGTAAAGGAATTCATGCAACAATATTCCGCTTGGAAATGCATATCTCGTATGTAAAAAAACGTGAAGATATTCTAACCTGTATATCATATACAGTGAATGGAGACAAGTCTGCTAAAAGAAAGGACCCGGGCTCGTTCATTCCAGTCTTGTACTGCTTATTATTTACATAGATAGAGTACTCTGTGACAACACCATTTGGGTTTGAAGGCGATGTCCAGATGACATGTACAGCTGTACTGTTGATGATGACAACCTCTGGAGGGAACATGCCCTCAGGCTCTAGAAATAAAGGAAGAAACTGAATAAACTCCAGCTGTCTCTGCAAAAGCACTTGTTTAACCAAATGTAGATTAGTATTTAGGTTTAGCAAAGGGTTCACTGCTTATCTGCTTTCCTCTGATGAAGTTATCACAGTCTGTAGTCTTCTGTAAATTGGCTTATTATACTCTCAGTTAGAAACCATGAGAGCTGATGGTAAAATGCTTTATACCAACAGCACAGTGTCAATCATCAGTAGTATGTGGCCAGTGAGATATGATGATAAATTATTCACCCATCTGCACTCTGAACATACAAACATTATTTTTATGTCTCCCCAATCATAATCTTTAAAAAAAAAAAAAAGAAAGAAAATTAAAAAAAAAGAAAAAAAAGAACACGAGAGCATTTTGCTTTTAAAGCAAAACCTGAGACCAAAATACTTTGTGTCTGGTGGAACGTGACGTTATCAGCCTCATCGCTGAAGCACTATGAAGCAATATGCAATATTGTCATTATGTAAATGGTTTTGAATGTTGATTACTATAGGTAATGATGAAGTCTAACACTTATTAAAAAAAAAAAAACCTCACTTTCCTTAGCGTTAAATTACATAATTATCTAAGCATGTCAGAAATAACCATGCAAAGACCTATTTTTATCATAAGAACCCATCTTTACCAGTTGAAAAATTGTCCTTGCGATTGATTCTATTTTATAAACAAAAGGTGCTGACCTTTGGCATCAGAAAGGAAATGGAATCCTCACTTAAAGTGCTTTGCTAATGACCTGGAACACTTGCTTCTGAGGTAATGATATTATAATGTTTGTAATGAGACTTTATAAAGCAAAAAGATTAGAAAGTCCATTCTAAACACATTTCAGACTCACAATTATTTTTTTATTTCATTCCTCCCCCTGCCCCTCCCTCTGCACTTGCCCACTGGCACAGAAATGACTCATAAAGAATCTTCTTTGAGGCCGAACTTACACCTAGAGTTTCGGGTGACTCAGGAAAGGCTCTGTGTATGACTGTCATGTCAAAAGCATATCGCTTCACAGAGCAAATCTTTTAAAAACCCCATTAATTGTTTCTGAATTCCACCATTTATTGATATGAACTCAGTTCCAAACTTAGTGCATACAGATAGGAGTATGCAGGAGAAGATGAGAACAAACTGGGTTAATATCTGCTATTAGAGCTTTTTCTTCTGTCTCAGTGGGACCGTTTATTGATCTACCACATGATGACAACCAGCACTTAAGCATTTTAGCGTTTTAGCCCTTTTTCCTTTCATACCGGAAATTTTATAATGGAAGGATGACTGATCTCAACCCTAACAAAAATCAATCAATTTCATTCTCAGATTTTAAGCCAAGCTGCATTCACTGCTAACCAACCTCCATCCGAGGTAGTCACATGCACAACTTCACTGTCGATGCTGTGGGCACCATTAAAAACTTGAAAAAATATCTGATACTCTGTGTTGGGCTGCAAATCACCTATGACCATAGAGTTTACATTAGCCTGGATCCTCAGAGATCTTCTGACATCAGTAGAATTCCAGAAGAGGGTGTAATATTCAACATCTCCTTGCAAATCTTGTAGTGCTAAGAAAAGAAAGGAAAAACACTGGGAGATCAACTGGGAAATATTCAGTCAGCAAGTTTTTTTTATCAACAACATTATTGCAAAGAGAAAAACAAATTTTATGCAGACCTCCTTTATTTTAAAAATGCAGATTTCACCAAGTGCCTTCAATTTCGCCCTTGTAAGCAAAGATGTAGACTGCTCTTCTAAACTTGTCAAAATCATTAACTGTTCATCATCCTGTACTATTCTAATACCGGAGAAAACTTCCTTATTCTAGACATCCCCATGATGACAATGGAATCTATCAAGTAAACAAATTAATAAGTGAAACCCACAGCTAGCAGTGGTGTGTGGACCTTGCAGCTTGCAACAACAAAAGGATGACTTTCATCCAGATAGAAGGAAAAGAGCAAATCATATTGCTCTATGGCACTGGTTTAAGACGGAAACCTCAAAGATTTTTTTTCCTTTTTGCTCGTTCCCTTCAAAAAACACATCACTACCTCACCCCAAAAGTACTGAATTCCTGTGTTAGTCCTTTAGTCATGAATAAGGGGCAAGTGACTATGTCTTAAATTATAGTTACATTCAACTTTATACAGACAGCCTTTCGGCCACAGTGAAAATTAAAATCTATGTATTATTATTTTAGAACAATCATTATAGCATTATCTACGCGTAAAGCTGTAATACATTCAGAAGCGTTATATTTACAGGGAAAAAAAAACAACTCCCTGCATTTCTTTCCAAATTGTGTTTTCCCCAGCAGTATCTTCCCTGGTGAAAGGAAGAAAAAAAAAAAACGTCCAATTTTCTGGCTACACAGGGATGGACATTCATTGGTCAGAGCTTGTGGATAAACAAGGATTCTAGGCAAACCTTGCTTCTCCATTTTAGTAATTCAGGTGTAGTCTGTTATCTTATCTGTCCTTTGTCAAAGAGTTTAAGTCCAGATCTGCTGAAATGCAACTGCTTTTCCAGTCAGCATCAGGATGAAAAGAATAATCATGACAAAAACTTTAAGCGCTGAAACATATTGCTTTAGATGACACGCTGTACCACTAAATAGGACTCACCTGACTGGGAAATAGCATTGATCAAAGCTAAAAGCATATTTGCAGATTTAATAGTACACAGTTTTGTCACAGAAATTCTTAATCAAGTGATACATTTTTATTTCAAGGAGTACAGACACAAGTACTAAATCCTTAGAAGTCAGAAACCTTCTGTAGGTTTTCCAGAAGAAGAAAACTAGCAAGGCAACATATATTAAGGACTCCCAAGTTCCCAAAGAAAACAAGAAAATAATTTAAAAACTAATATTATGAAAAAATGAAACATGGGTATACAGAATATTTAATATACTTATCGAAACATAAGAAGTGATAAAATACGATAAGGTTCTCAAATAACGAATGGCCTTGTCTTGGTGTTTAACCTTTGCATTCACAAACATATATGAAGAAAATTTCTAAGGTATGAATGAAAATAAAACTAGATTGCATTACCTACATCTAGAAGGTCAGGGGTTTAGATTACTAAGGTAATGAAACTTCAGTGAGCTGCTTCAGATCTATTACATTTGTCAGTTTTTATAAGCATGCTTACTTCAGGCATGCAATTATAAAATAAAGAGACTACATTTGTTGCAATTCAGCACCCAGTCCTTATGAAGTCATTTGCATGTAAGTCATGAAGAAATTCCCCACTGCTGTATTAGCAAACCAACTAGAGAAATTGGCTAAATTCATTTTAAGGAGCAGAGCAAAAACGGAGAGAAAGGGGATCCTCTCCTCCTGAAGGAATGTATATGTAAATTTTCATACAAAGAGATGAAATATACCACAAAGACAACAGGGTTGTGTGCACTACTGCTTTATAGATTTCTCAGGAGTGGGCATTAACTATTTCTTCACTTTCACTATTCTCATTCTGCAGAAATAGCATGTAACAAATACAAACATGACTGAGAAATAGCAGATGTGCACATTTTTTTGCCTATTTCTTTCGTCTCCTTTCAAGGACACTTGGGCATATTATAAATCAAGGCAAGGACTGTGTTTCCTGTGAGAGCAAGGCAGACCAACATAAGTGATGGCAGGTTAACATCTAGTTACTGGAATAAATACTAAGCACACTTACTTGGTTTTGACCATTCCACTTCTACAGCAGTATGATTAACAGCACGTGCAAGAAGGACACTTCCTTTCTCTGGTAATCCCGCTAATGTAGTAGCTACCACTTCTTCACTTGATGTATATCCCACCTCATTATGCACTATGAGCTTGTACTCGTATGTTGTGTAGCTAAGACATTTTAAAAATAATTAAATGGAACGAAAAACACAGACGGAGAAAACATTTGCTGTCAACCCTCCCCCTGTGCCAAAGTTTTCATGTTTCTTCCTTCCCTCTCTAGCAAGTGCAGCTGCATGGCGTGCACCAATGAAGACTCTGTAAGGGATGTCTATTTTTTGGTAAATAATTCAGCGCCATTAACATGGTAACAAAAATAATATTTCACTTTTTCGTTGTTGAAGCTTCTGAGGTGTTGAGAGATTATAGCTCAATTCAATACATAATTACAGCAGTGGCAGCCTGCCAAAATTTGGATCAGAATTTAATCAAATGAGGCTTTTTTCCTCTTTTGGGAAACTCATTGATTTTAACTTGCAGAGTCTCATTTGGAAAAGTGATTCACCACACAGCCAGGACTCTCCCACCACAAAAACATTAAAAAAAAAGAAAAAGTGCCTAGGAATGCAAAATCATTTAATAGTGTAATTTTCTTCAGAACTCTGTATATTCAATTTACACAGTTTTATTAAATACTACATGTATTTTTAGTAAACCAAGTGACTGTCACTCCGTAATATCTTCTCTGTATCAAATAGCATATTAATGTATTTTAAGTGGGATTTCATAACCTCAAAATTAATTCTATCATTAAAAACCTCACACAAAACTGTGCAACCACAGAAACACAGGATCATCTTCAAATTTTCAGTGAAGCTGCAGCAGTTTGAGATAATTGTCTACAAACACAATAAAGGAACTTATGGTAAATGCCAAATGTTGAGATTTCTTTACAAAATGAAAAGCCATGCACATAATGTATTTACTTTTTTTCTTTACTGCTTTAGTATAGAACCCTGTATTATGTAACTGTCCAGTGTGATTTTCAAAAAGGCAAAATTTTAACAGTCCCACTAAGAATGAGAACTAATGGGGTCTCATCAGCTCCAACTCTAACGATAAGCATTGCAGAAGAACAATGACAATATACATAACATTTCATTTCCCTCCCTGCACTTTCTGTTGCTTGCAAACACGCAATATTCTCTTGGACACTGTAGGACAGGTGCAATCAAAGATCAATAGAACCTATTCTTGCAATTTAATGATGAGAATTTGAGATTCATTTTTGATCTATATTTCCAACAATGAAAGTAAAAGAAGTATGACTTAGTCTACTAGAAATGAAAAATACATATAAAACAAATAATTGTGAAAATAAAGCTCTGGCAGGAATATAATAAAAATCACTAATTCTGAAACATGATTAAAACATGCCACAAATCAAAAAAGATGCTGATGTATGGATGTCCTTCCTGTGAAAAGTAAGACTTGGTCTCTCTGCAGCATCTTCTCCCTGGCCACATACTCAGGGTTGCTGACTGCAAAAACACAGCTGCAAGTTGCAGAACCCTCCCCAAAAGTAGTGTTCAGATGTATCTGAGGATTAGGCACACTTTTCTGACCATAGCTCATTCAACCCGAAAGGTCATTGTGCCTAATGACTTGTCACTGAGACCCTGTCAGAATGTATTGCCCTCTCCGATCTGCTAACATAACTGCTGCACACATCAGTGCTGCTGAAATGAGCTAAACTAAAACCAACAGAAACTCTGTGTAGAATTTCAAACGTGGTTTAAGACAGAAATGGACACTTGGGCGGGACCTGGGGAAAGAGCAGCTTCATGATCAATCATTACTGCAATGGATGAAGGGACACAGCGACTTGCAGCAAGTGGGCAGTGACATGCCAGAGGCAGTAGGTGTTGCCTTGGTTCAGTCCATACAACAGTCTGGAGCAGAGGTCACATTCTGCTGGTTCACATTCTGCTCTGGGGGGTTGCTCACACAGCTTGTATCGAGGTAAGTAGAAGCAACATACAGATATTTGAGGGGCAATGACTGACACGTGGTCATCATAAAGCAGGACAGCACACAGAGGGCACACACATCCTGAAACTATCCATGAAAGTTTTCCCAAGACCTTACTTAAAAAAAACTTCAATGCAGAATCTATGCTGAATCTTTGTTTGGAGGTTCTTAATGTGTGTGCTTTGCCGTCTCAAGGGTGGTAGCCTTTATTTCGAGGTGCGCAAACTAAGACTGATCAAGAGCAAATGCTTTGCTCTGTGCCACACAGCAGGTCTGGAACACACGGAGAAAGAGAACCCCCTCACCACTTCCCACCTCTCAACACTCTGCAATTTAACTATGAAGCTAACACAAAGCTGCCCTCAAATTAGATCTACTGAGAGTGAGATAAATACTATTCTTGCCTTTGGAGATATTAAAGCAGTTGTTAATTTGCATTTTAAAACCAGGTAAGACAAACAACGTTGAAACCAAGTTTCAGATGTTTCCCAGTTAGGATTTCTCACTCTATCATTCTGCCTGTGCGATGACTTTGCCAACACACAAATCTAGAGCGTATGTACACACAAATAGTTTGACTGCATAAGCATATCAATGCTAAAATTTCACAAGAACTTTATTTTCATTTGTTTTGCAGAGCAAACCAGTATGAGTCAAGAACGACAGACTAATAATAAATCCCTGCATATTAGACTGATTAATACCAAAGATGATGACAAAAAATATTTCATTACATAATTAATATGTTCTCTACATAAAGACACAAGAAACACTTTGAACTATTAAACGTACACTATACAAAATGCCAGCATTTGTTTTTATAGTTTTTGTAATCTCACCTGCTAAGACCCTTATCTTCATAAAACCACTGAGTTCCTGAGTAAATATTGTGCCACAGATTTAAATCTTCAGGGGGATTTGATGCAAGTGGTTGCTGGATTTTACGTCTCAGGAGCTCATATCTAACACAAAAGACAAGCAGAACACCAGGATTATCTCAACTAATGTTATTACACAAAAAAAAAAAAAAAACCCTTTTTTTTTTTAAAGCCACACATTATTTTGTTTTTACAGCTGTAAACTTTCTGAGATAAACATTCTTTTTAATGTTTCATTATTTAAAATATTCAATTACTTAAAAAAACCCTTACTTTGAAAATGGAAAATGAAGCATTCCGTTTGAAAGGATGAGTTTATTTAATGATTTCCAGATTTTAAACTTGTGGAAATGCTATGAAGATGAAGTCCAAATAGCCCAATGTATCTCATACAGACTTGGCTGATGCCATCTGATATATGCAGACTGCTGCAGAATGTGAAATGACAGTGTCTCTCTGTCGTGAATGTGCTGAAACATGTAGTGTTGCTATTACTATTTTGCTGATAGTAGCAACTTAAGCGTGCATTTGCATTTAATGTGTGTTTTCAAACAACCACAGTGTAAAATACAAGTGACAAACAGACATAGAATGAGTTAACTGTTCCATCTGTAGACCTTAGCAAGGTACTTTTGTATTTGGGTAGGCATTCATGATGTGAACTTCAAAGACCTATTTCATCCTGGTTTTAATTGATATCTGAAGCTGTACTCCTGTCTCTGTTGCAAAAAGCAGTCCAGCTAAAGACCGTCTTTCATCAGGTCAGCCATGAGACTGCCTGACTCAGACAACATGCCTTCCACCCATTCTGTATCTTCACTCTTCATCATCTTTTACACAAGACCTTTATGAAATTTATGAAAGATTAAATCCCTTCATGTATACACAAGTTAAAAGGAATAACATATTCTGCATTTCTTACTAATTCTGTGGATTGCATAGAAAACTGCACTCTAAATGAAACAAAAATATATAAAGAGTTGTCCAAAATCTTCAGGATTATTATTCTTTATTGCACAGGAGTTTTTTAATATGATTCTTGTTTCAGTTTGGTGGTTCTTTTTTAAGGCATCAGATGTTTGTACACTTCCTGCCAGTTACAGAACTACTTCGAAATTGTTTTCAATGGTGAGCTGCAGTTTTAACCAAACTATAGCTGCAATAGTGTTTCCACTGATGCCAAGCAAAGTAGGGCCATATACATATATATTTGCTTAAGCGTGTAACTTGATTCTCTAAAGAGTTGAGCTGCTGTGTATCATCCTTTCCATGCATGCCATTTTGGAAACGTGCTACTGTTAAATTCCAGCCAAAAGTATGTGGATACTCAGACAGATCATAAAGACTCTCACTTTAAGCACTTATTTGTGAAAAATGTTTCCTTCTGTGTTTAAGCCTTCTGCAGAATGCCTTGGTGTGGGTCATCACTCTGTTGCAATAATCTTTCTGATGACTGGCTTCATGTGTAATTTGAAATTTACCTTTTTTAAGTTAAGACTATCTTCAGTCTAATGAAGAAATGTTGGGCAACACCGCGCCAGATTTGAGACTCTGAATTATGAGGATATTTAATAGGGACTGCATACAGTGATTTTGTATTGCTTCAAATCAGAAATCAACTCAAAAGCTCTCTTACAAGATGCATGAGACTTCCTATGCAACATGAAAGCTAGGACGTACGTGTGTGACTTTCAGCACCTTTCGCCCTTGAGTTTAGGGAATAATCCTCAACAGGTACAATGAAGCACTGTGCCACTGACCTTAGTGATGCCAAATCAAATTGCTGCAGAAGTTGGGAGTATAGCCTCAGAAATTAAATAGGAAAAACTAATTAAACTCCAGCTCTATGAAAACATTCAGATGACTTTATACCCCAAGAGCAACTCTGATGTGAGTGGTTCATTGGTGTCAACAGAACCCAAAGACCAAAGACTACAGTTTTATTAAGAACAATCCTGGCATATTATGTCCAATATATTTCATAGTAAAGTCATGAAAAACATCAAAATCTTTTTGAACACTGAATGGTGATCATGTGTAAAATCACCCCCACTGGCAGCTGCTGCTGCTTCTCTGCTTGCTGCAGACTTCTTGCTCCATCATGCTGTACAGAGCAGCTGCTTCAGTGGTTGTTCTTGTCGAGGGCAGCATGGCACACCATGGAGGAAATGAAGTCTGCAGATGTAGGTTGTACTGAATTACTTCAATAATCTATGCTAAAATGGTCATATTGTTAACCCCAGAATAACAGAGACTGCTTTTCAAAAACTTCAGATTTTACTGTGGAGCAATCATCATTTCATTCAGTTGTAGTGTGCCCTAATTAAGCCTGAAGAAAGAGTCAAGCTACTGTGCTGTAATAACATACGCAACTGAAACGGCACTACATGATAATTATTGAACCCATCAGTGCACCTAGAAGAGAGCTGCTAACCAGAACATATGGAGTACAGAGATATAATTCTATGCACAATGTTTCCCAATATGTTAAAGCACTAGAATGAAAGATTTTGTTTTGGATTTTTTAATTGTGTATGTATAAAGATATATTTTTCTTTATAAATCTTCATGCACAAAAATATATTTTTTTTAATGTATACACACACATACTCAGAAATCAACAGAATCAAGATCCCCCATCCCATCACTCTAAACAAGTCTCAGAAGTGACACCTTTCTCTAGTTCCTGTGGTGAAATCCAGCTGGCTATCCCCAGAACTTCCTGGCATTTCCTATTTTTGGCTCTGCCACAACACTTGTAGCACTTTAACTTCCTTTTTTTTCATGTACTTTCTCATTTCCAATTCATTAATCAGTTTTGTAGCTTATTTCATGTCATCACACTACCATGGTCACCTTCTCTTTATGTAGAATAACTCTCACAGAGTTTTGAGAATATTGGCTGTATTAAATATTTATGTTCAGAGATCTGGTAAGTATCTTGCCATTTTGTTGGTGGAACATGTTCCCTGAACTGACCACCAAAACGTGGCTGATGCTGCAGCCCAAACCACTTATGACTTTGCAAATATCCTGTGCTTGCTCATTCTGGGTCCTGAGACAGCACTGATCTGAAAGACCCAGAGCCTTCCAAAATGCGTACTGCAAAGTAAATTCCACAGTACAGACACCACACTTGCTTTAAATAATCTTGACTCCTCGTAAGTTCAAACCAATTCAAAGCTCACCCTGCTATCTGCTTCTAGACTTACCCACATTACATGAATCCTCTTATGGACTCCTGAAAGCTACAGAGGGACTTCAAAAGATCAGAAATTAAGACATCACATCATAAAGTTTGCATCACCAGGAATCTTCTGTGCTGCCATCTCCGTTTAAAAGCTTACCTCAGATGAGGACCATTTGGCCTCAGTGGTGGTTGCCAAGAAATGGCAACAAAGGACTCGCTGATTGGAGTCACAGACAATGGACTAACATGCTGAGGAACTGCTGAAGGTGTAGTCACGCTGGTGGGCAAACTCTCTGTGCAGCCTCCTAGAAAGCCATCGCCTCCAGAACAAGCTATTACAGTGACAGAGTAGTTTGTATAGGGTATAAGATTAGTCACCAAATGACTTAATGGTGATGAAGTATTCCCAGTAATGACAATTCGTGGATCAGGCATGCGAATCTCATAGTTAAGGATTTCACCATTCTGTATCAGAGGAGGTTTCCATGAGACCTGAAGGAGAAAAAAAAAAAAAAGAAATCAAACCCAACAGAGATCTTTCAGTCAGAATGCAGAAAGACAAACAACATGTTACACATGGTCACAAGATGTGCTTTTCATTCTTCATCAAGACAGAGTTTGTGTATAACCATTCCCAGGTAGCCGAAATTTGATTTTTAAAGGTGCAGCCATTAGAAATCTAACTTCCTTTAATTCTAGTGAGGCTTGCAGTAACAGGTGTAGCAATTGCAAAAATCTACTATTTAGCTTCACCAGTCAAATGTGAATGCTCCACTTCACCTAAAATTCTGTGAGAGGTTCACATGCATTAGCAGAAGTACACTAATTATCGTAAATATCACTAACTGTCATAACTTTCATTTATTTTCTTATGGTGTATTGCCTGGTGTGCTCATCTGTTAGTGGCAGAATAAAAAGAAATCTTATTTTGTGTTTGCACAATTTTCAGAAAAGTGTAACTGCCTTAGCTTCTATCAGAAATGAGATTTGACTGCACTCTCTATATCCCAAAATATGCAGGTTTTCTTTCATATTTTTCATAATGAATTACACTGGTAACTATCAGACAAAAAACAGGCACAATTTTCTATTTGCAGAACTATATAATTATTCTGAGAAAAATTAATCACAAAAAAAGAAGAAGGAAAGTACACACAGAATTCATGTGTGATAGATATGTACTGTTACACTTCCTGGGGTTTTACTGAATCGAGTTTAGGTGTTTGGGTTTTTAAGTTATTCTTTTTTTTTTTTTTAAGTACATTCCTCTAAATATTTATACTTACCAGCTCCAGTAAGAAATCACACTCAAACCATTGTACCATAAAGCACAAGGATGTTCTGAATTCTTTTTAGAGGGTTTTTGTCATGGTATCATGACAGAGGGGACTTCAGACTGATGCAACGACGACACGTAACTGTATTAAGAATCTCAAAGTTTCATAAGGGCAGCATAAGAACATCTATCAATCCTTGCTCCCCTAGAATTCACAGTAGGAATAAAACAGCTTTGCTTTGCTCATGCCTGGGACTTGCCATTGACCCACTCATCTATAACAGTTGCTGTGTCTTTTCCTGCCAGGCATGGGATAATTAAGGATTGAATCCAATATTTCCAAGATAAAAAAGAAATGGAGAAATGGATAAAACCTAGATGAAGGTATGTGCAGAATAAAATGAACAAAGATAATATTGAAGTGTTAAATAGTAACACTGAGATACTTCAGTTTAAGTTGAACTTTTTCCTTAATTCTCTCCAGCCTCCAAAGTAAGTATCTTTAAAAAGGTCTATGCACAATTACACACAGCCATGAAAACAGAGAAGCTTGATATATAAAATGATTTTTAAAGGACCCTTGAGGATTAGGAAATGTACCTTAGGTACAGAAAGACCTCTTAGGCCATCAGACTTGTAAGAAACCTGGCAGCAAAGTACTGGAGAAAGCTGAAGGATTTTGATAACAGAATCTGGAATACTATTAAACAGAGAATTAGAAACAGGGTGATCTTGAGTAAAGACAGCACAAACAAGATTATTGGTGCCCACATAGGAAAGGCTTAGCTCTGGCTAATTATCAAATGCTGTATTCAGATTTCTGTTATATCTGGCCCCAAAACATGATCAAACAAATAAACAAAATACTACTGATAAAACAATATAAAATTTCACAAAAGGTAGGAATACATTCCACACCATTCACATATACATTGAGCAAAACTCTCATTTTGAAGTACTTTGCGTGATCTAGCCATAAGCTTAGGAAGCAGAGAAGAATGGATGATTAGCACAGGCAACAGAAAATGTTGTTTTCAAGTACAAGTTGCAAGCATTCAGATGAATAAACGTCAGGTGAAATTTCCAATCCAAATGCTTTTTATTGCTACTGTACTGCACACACTGGATGTATTGTGTATGTCACAGAAAGAGGGGAATGTGCATGTTTCACCTTTATTTTCAGGGGTATACCTTTGAAGTTGCTGGAAGAAGTAGAGAAGACTTTAAGGTCTGACATGCCACAGCAAAACACTCATTTCTGCACCCATAATTAAGTTATTCTTTTTTGAGGTTTAGCACCTATCCTGAAATTCTGCCTCAATGAAGTGTGACTGAAGAAAATATATTCAAGGTCTTTTTTAAAGAATATTAATACAGTAAATCTGTCATTACCAGTGAAAAAAGCCCTCTTACTTGTTGCTTAATGCAAGGTCACTTCTAATAAAAGAACTATATGTCAAATGCTTTGGAATATTCCTGGTACTACCTTCTCAGAAGAGAAAATTGTCTAAAAACTTTCACCTTGTACCAAATCTTGGTTTATTTCCTGGAAGAGAGGAGGAGTTATATTTTAATTACATCACATCGTAGGTGCCTAACTTTTATGTCTGAAACCACAAAATTACTCTAATAGAACTTGCACAAGATTGACCATATACTGTAAACCCTTCATATAAAGGAACATGGGCAGGAAAACAGATGCTGCTCCAGAACCTCAGCTCCTGAGTTTTAAACAGCATGTGCACTAGCTGGTGAAACTTAAAAAACCTCTTGAGTGTTACATCACACATTTGCGGTGCACTAGCAGATAAAGTACCTCATACTGTACATAACATAGATGCTCTGTGGGGTTTACACTAAGAAATTTCTGGCGTTTTTCATCTTAAGAGAAATGGAAACTAGGCTGAACAGCAGTACAATAACACAGAATGAAACTTATTTTTGTCTGGGCATAGATATCTCATACAAAGATATGTAGATCTGTTATCACTTTGGTTAGTATTTTTTTAAACTCAACAAAGGGATGACCAAGGACACTCACAGTTACTGCTGTGTCACTTGACCTGCTTTGAATTCCATACGTCACCTGGGAATGACAAGTCATGCATTGTCTCTGACAAACTTCTCCTGTCAAGAGGCAAGGGACTGCCTGGCCTGTACAGAGTAAATGATGGTGGAGACAGCCTGGTTAACACACGTGACGCTGCTGGACCTCTTCTCTACTTTGATGTGCCAGGGTCTGAGGTAAGAGCTTGGCAACGCATGAAAGCAGGAAAGCTCACTAGACAGGCTGTGTTGGAAGCGGTAACAGTTTGTTCATTGATTTGGAGCTCAGCACTGAGGCCATGAAAGAGGATGCCCATGAGGAAGAGAGAATAAGGTAGCTACTGGGAGAGATTAACTGATTCAATGTAATGACTCTGGAAGCTGTCATTTAAAGATCAAAGCACCTTATTTTCTCCAACACAAAATTTAAGGAGACAGAAATTAGCCATTTTCCCCCCATTAAACTGTTATAACCTTGGAAATCTTTTATTTTTTTTTTTCTTCTTTTTTTTTTTTTTTTTTTGACAGCAGTTGGAACCCTGCAATTAAATTCCAAGCTACGTGAAAAGAAGCACTGGCACATAGGTACATTTTACTAGTTCAGGCCTGGCTTCAACAATTCACTTTTAAATTGGTGTGTTTGGCTTCATTTTATTCTCATATCTCCTAGCTACTGCTTGTAACACCTACAAACAGAATGTAATAAATACACTGCTGAGAGCTTTTCACTGTTGGTCTCAAAGCACGTTATAAGTCTCAGATTGCAAGTATTATTATTACAGTTTTACAGATGAAAAGACTAAATCCCAGACTAAGTCACGTATCAGAAAGAAGCAAAACTGAAAACAAAGGCCTGCTAACCCTAATTCTGCATTCCAACCAGTGGACTATAGTCCTGTGCCAACCCTGCAGCCCCCCCCAAAAGTAGTAGGGAGATGAATTTCCTCATGAGTTCTTATCTGTCTTAACAGAAATTATAGTGGGATTCAGTCGAGAGCTAGTATCACACCAGAAAAGCAAATCCTGACAGAGGTCACCAATAATTACTCTCTTACGCTTTGCACGTGAACTACGTACAGCTTCAGCAAGCACTACCACAGAAGAACAACACGATCAAGTTTGCAGTAACAGATTGCTACTACAAAAAGTTCTGGAAGCATTAAGCTTGAGTAGTGGAAAAACAGAAAGAATATTTATTTATGATCTTAAACACCTCCTACAGTCAAGTGTTTAAGCTATATCAAAGGCAGGGGGATAATGCTGATGAAACCCTGATTAGTTCACCCCACTGTATGATCTGTACCAAATGAGCAAGCTGTGCTAAAATGTGGAAAACCTCTAGTTAAGCTTTTCTTAACCTCTGTGCAAGTTAAGGTTGTTCCTATGGGTGTTGGAGTATCCTAAGTCGCTCAAGCAGCACTTATGTGGCAAATAAACCAAGGTCTCACTGACCTTAGCAGCATTACAAGGCAATCTTCACATAAGGATTGATCGCTCCTAAACAATTTCCCCAATGCACCAGGCATACCTACATAAAACTGGAAGTGTGGAGAATAAAGTCCAAACTTTTTTTTGCCCAGCCTGAATCCGCTATGTGGGCTTACTCTATCTCCCTTTAGTGAGCAAGGCCTAGGTATCAGGGTTGTTCGTATTCTCCAAATTATGTTCTTAGGCAACAGCAGTCTGACGTATTTTGAGAATGAAATAGCAACGTGGGGGGCGAGGTTAACCTGGGAAAGAGGAGGAGTCTTCACAGCCTCATTCTGTACCACATTGCAGAGGTAAAACAATGAAGAGTCACCTCCCTGTTAGTCATCAACTTCAGTGACCATGGAGTTATTACTGTTGAATCCAACATTCTGTAATCAGAAGAAACTTCACGGTACAGAAAACATTAATGTGTGAGACAAAAAATAACTCCAGAACATGTGCCTATAACTGTAATTCCATAGGAAGTGGAAAATGGATAAAGAAAACACCTTCCTTTTCACGGATGGTACTCAAACTACAGGGTATATTGCTTTAAATGTGTCAGTGGCATCCATTCCATACAGCTGAAATCTTTCTCTTACATGTTTTAGTCCTAGACTGTTCACAGAACAACAGGCATTTAGCAGTCAACTGTCCAGCTTCTGGGCTAATGAAGAACAGAAGACAGCTATAAAAATAGAGCCTTGTTTATTTGTGTTTGCTCACTTGTATATGCAATTTAGTAGTCAAATTTGAGAAATAGCTACTGGAAAATTGATCCTCATCTCTGAGGGTAACAACCAACATGAATGACAATTAAAAAGCCTACAACCCTTCTTCAGAGAAGTTGTGAGGAAATACTTACAAACACACACAAAAACTGTGTAGAAACTGAATGACATGATATTAAATCAATATGCAAAAAAAGAAATTAGAAAGAAGAATGAGAGTTTGGTGCTACAGAATCAGCATGGCTCTTCTAGCAGGAAACATACACAACATATTAAGAGAAAAGTCAATGCAATTATCATAGTTTTTTATTTTTCTCCTTTTGCATCTAATCAAGTTTCATTAAGTTTCTGTAATGCTATCATGAAGGAATAGCATGGCACAAGAAATATGTCAGTAAGGTACTTCATCCAACCACGATGAAATCTCCTACAACTTATCTAAGCACCAAATAGAAAAAAAAAATCCTTTCCCCTTGAGACAAACGTCAGGATTAAGTACAGCTCATGCCAACTTCCCTCTTGAGAAAAAGGTTACGCAAAGACTGACAGCAAATGACTGTAGCTTCTTGTCTTATCAAGGGTGCAGTTGGTGGCACTGGCAGCAAGGGAGAGTAATACAGGCAACCTTGCCTCGGCAAGTCTCCAGGTAAACCAATAATCAAGACTACATCTGCCTTCTCCAGGCCAAAGCCCTCAAGGGAAAACTACCGCAGTGAAAGGGAAGTCTTCCCATTGAAAGTTAAATGGCCAAAGCTGGAGAATTTGCATACTGCAGTTAATTTAGTTTCGTGTACCCAGCCACATAATGCTTTTCCTTTACAAAGAACTCCTTTAAATAATTATTCACTGTGTAAACCAGTCTCTGAAGCCACTCAACCTAGCTACATTCTCAAATGTCATATCAGTGTGAAGTGTGAGATTGAAGCAGCACAGCAATTGCAACCCTCACAAGAAAAGGAAACAGTTTCTTTTATACTTCTGTACATTAGGGTATAGCAAATCTTGTGTAACAGGAATAATGTTCATGGCATTGGCATATACTAAATAAACGGCTTTTGCAGTTGCTGAATACCTCCACTTCACTTTGGCATTTAATCAGCCACAAAAGCAGTTTATTGCGCAGTATGCTCCACTACCATGAACATTATCGATTCAGCAAATATTAAAAAATATCATGCAGGTGTCACAGAAATGGGTACTTTAAAAATTACCCACAGCTTTACACTTCCTGTTGCACAAAAGAAAGCAAGCTAAATGTTATGGAGAGATATAGGTCCATTCTGATTAAAATTAAATGTTAAAGGAGCACAAACGCATCAGAAGCGTTTATGCCAAGAGTGACCTGCTGTGCTGCTATTTTCCTCCTTGCAGAGTGAAAACTTTGGTCTATGAAAATAAGCTGTATACTCAAGTGAGTACTATCCCAGAGCACTTTGAATTCTCCACATCCTCAAATCATTTATATTGATTCTATGACTAAATAAAGGAATGGAAATATGTTTCTCCTTTTTTGTAAATTCTCTCTGTTTTCAGTAGAAGTAAATATTTGCGCTCATGGTTTAGGGACTGGTTGCACTGACAGCTGAAAGCCTCTATTGATTTGCAGATGTGGGCTGGTAAAGGAGCCTCTTGCTAATCTTTCCCCTAGTGCCCTTCCAATACTTTCCACTCTAACCTAGGAGGACAGCTCTCTCTAGGGCAAGATGTAATTAAAAACTGCCTCCCAAAGAGACAGCTTGTTTTCCATTCTCTGCTTAAGAGCTACCATCGCAGACACTGCATAAGATGAGAGGGTTGTACAGCACAAGCACATCCCAAAAATTTGATTTGAACACTACGTAGATGATACATGCATTGCAGGTTGATGGGCTTGATCTGCTCAAGAGGGCAAGTATGTCTTTGTGGGACTCTCATCAGAGTTTAAAGGCACCAACGTAAAGTAATCCCAAACTAGATCCACCCTATTTCCATGGAGGAAAGCTTTTCAACAAATAAGTGGCAATCCTTGCACAATACTCCACAGTCGTTCTGTGGGTGTAACCAATGTGCTTGTGGGGTGAAGGGACACAAGGGGTTTGCAGGGCACTTATTCAGATCTACACCCGAGTTTGAAAGAGAAGGGTAAAAACTCCAAATGTTTTAAAAACAGGTGCTACCTTGTTGTTCTTGTATGCTCCTGGTACAGAACAGTCACACGGGCCACAAGACAGCCTCACCGTCATGGCACAGCCCCCCAGGTGGTCTCAGGGTCTTACTACACCAATGTGAACTTGCCATAAAATTGAGGAGCAGGAAACAATACCACCACTGGTGAGCTAATCTATTTGACAGACCTGTAAGACGACTAACAAGTATGATGAAATCCCAGTTGCTTCCTCTAGTGCTCCCATCCGCAAACAAGCAGAAGGAGAGAAAACCACTGGGTGCAGCCAGCCTTGTCCAAAGTCTCTTCAGTTATGAAGTGCAATGAGCACTTCTGCACCTATAACTTTATTTACATTTTTTGTAGATATAATAAATAGTAATAAAAGAATAATAAAAGCTAAAAAATAAAATAAAATAAAAATCTCTTGCTCTCCTGGGCAAGTAAGAGATATTTTAAGATATCGGAAGCAAAGTAATGTCTAAGCCATTCTGCATAGGAACTGAACCAAGTTCCAACTGGCACCAATTGCACACAACTCTCCTCCAATTATGATAACTATCAAATTAAACAACACCAAGTAAAATAAAATACTAGATAAATTAGAAGAACGTATGTCAGTATCATCAAAGGATACCAATGCTCTCTACAAAGAGAGAGAGAATTTTTGCTGAAGGACAGGTACTCAGAAGAGCGGATATTTGCAAAGGCATATACATAAGTCAATTTCACCAGTTAAATGCCACCACCTTTAATTATTTGGAACATTTTAACCTAAATATTTAAAATTGAGAAAAATGAACAGACTGAGTCATGGAAATAAAAACATCCAGGCTTCAGTATCTTTGACAGGAATTGTTCTTAACAGACCAAGCAAATATGTGCCTCCCGGTGGAAAAAGCAAGCCTGAAACTACAAGAGGAGCAGTGACACAAAATATGGCCACCACTCATACAGAAGGTCATACAGTATAGACATTAAAGGCTTTAAAGAGCTTTGAATGTTAATGATTGACTGGGGAAGAAGAAGGGGAAAAAAAATCATTTGAACTCTTTGGCAAGAAAGGAAAAGAAATTTTAAAAGCATTGTTATATTGAAATTAAATTATTACAGAGTGAAGACTGCATTGCGTGATTTCAGGTTTCAGAAGAAATAAATTATCAAACTGACTTTTGGGATTGGTAGATTAAATGCCAAATCTTGGCACTCAGCAAAACACAATGAAACTACAATTGAGCACACACCTCTGATCTCAAGAAAAGACATCCAGCAAAGAATGGCAAGACCTCTGATAACTCAAGCTTTTAAAATTAGGATTGGGTGTTGACTGCACTTGGAGAAAGAAAAAATATGGGTAAGATATAAAATTATTATGCCCCTACCACAATAACTGAAGCATTAAAGGTTGCAGTGACTTCTTTGTGCTCAGAGTTGAAGCCAATGTGTAAAACCTCATGCAATAAATTGTGAACATGTGTGTAAGCATGGCATTGAATTAGGGTTACTGTTTACTCAGCATTGCTGATTCTGGTAAATCCATTAAAAATGCTTTGCTATGAATTGTGGTGGATATTAAGATATGCCTACAGAAGCACAGAGGGCAGAATCCTGGAAGTAGATTGCCCAAATCTTCAATACGCAGTCTGGTAATTCATCACAATTACTAGAGGTCGATCATTATTAATTCTTACGGTAACCATTATATTCATACTGAACTCATTTGCTATTAACATGGAGGAAACATGCAATTCCTTAGACATAAAAACATGATTTTCAAAGCTCAGGATTTATTTTTTTTTTTTTTTTTTTTTTTTGGTGTCTAATGGTGAATAGCTTTTTTCATAGCTTAAAATTATGTATGAACAAAGCAAAAAAATCAGCACTGGTTTACTGCTTAAATTCATACACTAAAACAATTTAGTCTGCATTGGTAAGATCACTCTGTTTACCTTTTGAAAATACAATGTATAACAAAAATAATAAATCTAACAGATGAACTTCAATCTTATGCAAATGTCCTTTGTTTTGTGCTCTGGTGAGCAAGCTACTGTACCAATACTTTTGGCATTAGTACAAGACTGAATCCATGGAAGCATGTGTGTATTTACACAAAAGAGGCTTCTAAGCTACAAAAATCCCTCTTGTTTGGTTACACTAATTTCCCTTGAATGAAGTTTGTATGCAAGCCAAAACAATGGTAGTTATCCTGTCCTCTAGAGTTCATTCCCAACAGAATGATGTGAATAATTGAAAACTTCCTAGGTAGTCCTGTAAGACTCTTCTTTCATAAATTAGAACCACAATCCTATTTTTTTCTTCATTAGCTATTTTTTAAAAAAATCTGATAATTATATACAAGTTTTAATTACATAAAAAATCTTTTTACTTCTTAGCATTTTAATGAAGTCTTGAAATTTTGGAGAAGATAGTAGGTCATTTTCTGATCTGAGTAGGGACTTAAAAGTAAGCATTCAAGTTTAATATTCAAAATACATCAGGTGTGTAAGGAGGAAAATGAACGGGAGTATAATGCCAGAGGCTGATGTAAAGGAAAAAAATGTAAAGGAATCTAATGTTTTTGAGCCAAAGGACAGACACTAATTATTCAACTACCCCTGCAGCAGCGAAATCTGTTGGCTCAGCCAGTAGATGTCTCTCTTAAATACACAGTTGCTACACAGAAAACATGTAAAAGCCATGAGGCAACGAGAATTATTCCTACCTTAACTGAGTGTGGTCCCAGTGCTTCTGCATCAGGGGGCTGAACACCAGCAGGTCTTGATGGTCTAGTGGTAACTTCTGACCACACACTGCTGTTTGTGCCACCATGAAGAGTTCCCATTAGCATTCTGTATTCATATTTCTGCCATGGGCTCAGAGCAGGACTCTGGTCAATGTAGCTCATGGACCGACTGAGGGGGAGCGTCACCACGGTTGATACTTGTTCTGTTCCTTTCACCCTCCTTTCTATCGTAAGGTTTTCCACCAAACCATTCGGGCGAGCAGGTGGTTGCCAGGATATGACCACAGAAGTTGGAGTATCAGAATAGAGCACTGGAGCAGGAATATCCTCAGGTGCATCTGGCAGAGTCTGTATTGCTGGGGTCCCGGGTGAAAGAGAGCATCCTTTAGATGTGCATGCTTCTACCTGAAACACATAGACTGTGTAAGGGTGCAAGTCTCGTACTGTGCAATTAGATAGAGTTCCTGGCACTGTAGCATGCAGTTTGCCATTTTGGTAAATATTATAATGAGTGATAATGCCATTTTGCTCTAAAGGATGCTGCCAGGTGACGCTTGCTGCCCTCGCGGTAACATTCAGCAGAAGTGGTGGATCTAAAGGTCCAGGTTCTGTAACAGGAAAGAAAAAAATAAGTAAAATTATATTCTGTGACTTGTAAAAGTCTGCATTAGCAAGCAGCCTCATCTAATGAGTCTGAAAATTACAAAAGAAGTTCTAATCTACCAATCAGCCTATTTCTTCAGAAACTGCAGGCCCAGTTATTCAGGGGATGAATACGGCTGTCTTCTCAAAGGCAAGCTTCTCTGTAAGCAGACCTTCCCTCCTCTCAGCCTTTCTCCCTCCTTCTCTGCATCTTTTTTCCTCCTGCGTCTCAAAAGCATCCTACCAATGCTGTTGGAATGTGGAGAAAGTGTATAGCTAGGTATCAATATAGGACTGCAGTTCTAGCTATTTTTCTAGAGCTCTAGCTACTAATTGCAACCAACAGCACCGGCATAACAGAGCTGCATATTTTACAGCTCAGTAAGCCCCTACTGCATCTCTCATTATATATTCAATATTTTACTTCATTCTGTTTATAATTCTAATCCATTTTTTGCAATTTATCTACTCTCTGTTAATATTATAGGTGATTTTTTACTGCGACTGTGACAGAAGCTGCCGATTTAGCTCTTTCACCTACTGATAAATAAACAATGCACAGATCTGACCTTTAGGTTAACAGGTTTTATGCTTGCTCCACTCAGCACTCTAACTGATTCAATTATCATAAAGGTTCAGGAGCTTCCATGAATACTGAAAAAGACCGACCATATGCCTGCATAGGTGTTGTGGAACAGCAAATACTCTGCAGCCCTCCAGAGAAATTCCTTAATTGTAAATAATTTCACCATGCGACACAATCAAGTCACCTTGAATGCAAAACCCTCAGCCTGTGGAGGCAAAGTGTTATTTAAGCTTTACTGGGCTGCGTTAAATTCTGCAATTTGAAGGGCTGTTAAGTTTTTCAATTGAAATTTCATTTAAAATGCAGGTGCTTTTTATTATATTGAGGCTTTACTGCTCTCTAGGTACAAGCAAGAACATGGTGCAATAACACAAATCTGGCTCAATCACTGATCAGTAACAGCTGTAATTCCAGAACATTTAGCATTCTTATAAACCACATCCTGAAATCTATAAATTGCTACAGCAGATCAAGAAACTACTATATTCCCCACTATTCTGCCCATAGCAGTTTTGACATTTATGAGATTTTTCTGTGAACATTACATTTTATTGAAATCTTACAAAAAGATATACTTGGGTTTAGTAATTGTTTAAAATAGCTTTAGGTTTGGGGATTTTTGGAGGATAAGTTTCAAATGTTAAGAGTTGAAAATTTAAAATTAATTAGTGATTGTGGGTGTGCTAAGACTCCAGGACACACAGCACAGCATATGCTGAATTCCACAGTAGTCAAAAACATCACTATTTAATTCCTAATGAAGCAGTAAGTTGTCCAACCCACAGGGAACAGTTTCTCTATAGGAAGAATAATTTACTTCACCAGAAGTTAAATAATTCCTAATAATTTTTAAGTGAAAAGAGAAAGAGAGAGGAGGAAAAAAAGGAACCCTAGAAAACAAACAAATCCATCACAGTAAGTGGCTCCTTATGTATTTTAGAATAACATCTGAAGTAGTCAGAAGTCACGATTCTCCTCTGACATACAGAGAGGGGTAAATCAGAATTATTCCACTGATGTCTGTGGAAACAGGGATGCAAAATTGGGATAGCAAGTTCTTTTCTTTTTTTTTCTTTTAAATTCAAAAAAGTAACAGTGTTTTTTCTTTCATTATATGATGCATCACAAAGCAACTCCATAAAACTCATCCATATCACAAATCCTGTTCTCACAGTGGTAATAAGGATGGAGTTCTATATTTAATGCTTGCGCACTCTAGGATTAATTTAGATCTCTGAATTTACAAGTATAAAAGATGATCTGTTGTAAAACACAATCCAATTCTATTTGCATGTACTCTTGGGTAAAATCAGTTAGGTCATAAGCTGGAAACAAATTTGGTCCATTATTTAGATTTCACTGAAACATGGAGAGGTGGGGGAGTAAACCTGAGTTAGATGTACATTCCATAAAGCAAAAATTTTGGTGAGGTGAAGGGGAAAGAGGAAAATTTGCTTTGGAATTGAAGACCTTGAAAACAAGTTGCTGCAATTTTTAGTTTAATGGGGGGAGGGATTTAAAAGGTACCATATTTATCACTGATCTACAAAACAGCATTTTATGTAATGATAACTCATAAATAAGCTATCATACTGTGAGCTTCTGCAGGAGGAAAAAAAAAAAGACCAAGAAAAAAAAAAAAAAAAACAAAACAACCCTCACAACAATCAAGCAATTTGTTGTGAGGGAATGGATAAGCCTTTTTATTCCTACTGAATAAGCTGCTGGCATTACAGGTGAAACATTCATGGTAATTAGTTGAAACTGTGTTTCAACCCCCCCAGAGATTGGAGGTATTCCTTAAGGACAATCTGTAATGTATGGGAGGAGCTGTCAGACTTAAACTTTGGGTCCCTCTAGTCCCTCCCCCTCCCCTCAAAAAAGCATATTTTGGTAGCTAGCATACCTACCCACACATTCCCTACTGCCCTTTTAAAAGAGAGACTTTTAAGGCTCTCTGAGTTCAAACAAGACGTTTGAGAAATGCTTAATTGGCCCCACTGGATGGGAAAGCATTAAATCCTGGTCCCCAACACTCATTCGGTGTAGCTTCTTTTTAAATGGCAAGCAGAATCATCTAATTCTATATACAAATCAACTAGCACGATACTGCTTGGTTGAAAGGGTCACCACAATTATGTAAAACATGAGTATTAACTATAATTGGGATAGTTTGCTAATACAATAAAAAGCTCTGAACATGAGAAAAGTTATGCTCACAGCAGTAGCTATCACTTTCTAAAGTAAGAATTCATGGATGAAATGACATGAAAAAGATGGTTATAAAATTTTAATGGAATGATAAAAGGCAAAAGTCAGCCTCTCAGCTGAATTCTTAAAATCCCTATATATCACAATCAGCTCCTTAACTGTAAAATCAATGTGGAGTATAACATGTTGTCAATGTGGTTGTCACTGGAGGGAAGACTGCAAAGTATGACAGCTACACAGCTCAGCCTGACAATGATGAAAATAAAATTATAAAGCTCTTTACATGGATGTAATTGTTTATAGAAGTAACCACTGAACATGGGAACAGTGGGCATCTTTTCCCTTAAGATTCTTATTTCATATTTCAAACCATTTCATTACAGTATTAATACTAGAAGGTAGTTTCATTTTGGCAAATGAAATTATCTTTTATGGCAGGCTATTTTGCTCATCTGCTTCAGAAGTTCAGACTCGACTTAAAATGAAGGAAGAAAATTGTCATTAATCTTTTTTAATTCCCTGACTAGAACCACACATTTGTTTACTTATTTTACAGACTGAGGGAGCGAGGAGCTATAAACTCATGGATGTACTTTGGTGGAATCTGTACTTTCACTAATACACTGAGACATTCACCTGGACTACTGCCCCTTAAAGCTAATGAGAAATACCTGATTTGCTGAGAAAATCTCTCACTAAGTAGAATAGAATTTCTGTGCCTTTTATTCTTGAATCATTTACTCTTTTCAGGAACATGAACAATGAAATTATACATATTAACAAAATGTGGTGTCTTTCATTTACTACCAATTGCATAATCCAAATTGTATAGCTCTGGGCACATGAAACCACAGGATTCTTTTATCACATTGGATCAGAGGACTCAAAAGTCCTTAAGTGATTCATGCAATGACATGCAGTCCATATGAACATAATGGGAGCCATCTACAAAGTATTCAGACATTTTGTCAACTACTATTCCAAATGCACATTCGGCCCAGAACCTCAGCCTAGTGGTTAAGAAACTTCTTCTAATTCCTAATTTATAAGCAAGCACAGGCAGTTTGTAATATTTAGCATATGAGCATCATATTGTATCTGCCACAATACTCAGTTTAACTTCTTCTGTCCTTTTGCTATTCACCCTGTCATGTGTTTTACATGACTTTCTCTTCCTGTTATCACCTCACCGGGTTTTGTCTTCTCTGGCTTCAGTCTCTGTTATCTTTCTTGAGCACAAGTGACCACATCAACTATGGATTAGCTTATATGCCTAAATTATACGGACCTAACTTACACAGTTAAAGGAAGAGACTTGTCTTCTCAGACACTGAATATAATCAGCAGAGAAAGCAAGCACACCCAAAAGCCAAATGCATCATCGTCCACCCTCTTGTCCTGTATTGCCCTCTGGAGGAGCCTGCCTCTCTGTATAGTCTACATGAGGAAGCTTTAAGAGAATAGACCTCCTCATCCTGGAACCAAGCTCTGTGGTAAGCGTGCCAGAGGAGCACAGCATAGCACTCTACATGATAGCAGTAGCACTTCCCTGTGCTGTCAAGAAATAGCTCAGCTGATGCATTGAAGGAGTGCTCTTTTTTTTTTTTTAAATGCGGACTTTTTTTCCTGTAGCAATCCACATAAACAATCATCTCAAGTGACTACTGCGTACTGTGTACTTTTGACATTACTTATTGTGAACAAACATTGGACTATAACTTCTTTACACATAAAAGAGGTGTGCTTACAATCACTTCATCTAACAAAAAATGGATTGCCTGATAGGCAACTCGCAAAACCTTCTCTCTCACCAAGCGCAAGCCAGGCACTTATAAAAGGGCTTCAGCAAGAACTCTCCATGCTGGGATTGTACACTGACCCGTGGTACTGAAATGTAGCCAGTGCAGGGAACATACTGGTGGCTGAGATGTCCTGCTGGATGCAACTCACTGGACTGCAAACAGTTTCTGGGACATTGAAAAGAAAAGAAATGAACTGGCAGCTTTCCTGTAAAGTAGCAACTTTGCTAGCTTAAAACTTGTCCAAATCAAGATGGATTTTCTCAAGTGCTAGACAAAGCACCTTTCTTATTTGGGAACTATCTCTCTGATCAAAGATTACACCATGTGGATTGCTACCAGCCAATGTCATTTAGCAAACCATAAAGCTACACCATAAAAATGCAGCAGCTGCCATTGGGCCAGCTTCAGGTAACTATAATCAGTTGCTTTGCACCATCCTTCTCAGATGGCTCCAAGAATTGCTATAACAAAGGGAAAACTTAATTGATATCTTCTTTCTATGTCTAGAAAATTTAATTTTATTCCTGAATACAAGGCATGAAATTCTACCCTCTGTTCAATGGTACTTACTGACCTCTCAGTTGAGCGGTGGTTACATAGAGTGCAAGAGAGTTATCTTAAACTGATAAGTTGCTGAAAGCAGAATCTAATCCAGAAACTTCATCAACTGTTCCTGTTTGCCTGTCAATAAATAGCCAGATTCTATACTGACCAAGATCACTGAAACATACAGCATTTATTAGCACGTTCAGC